GATGTTCTCCTCATTCTGCTTTAGATCTCCACTGTATTCAATTTCCAACAAATTGAGATACAGTTTTGGATTATCCTGTGCAAAAAACAACACAATTCAAGGTTAATTTTATGTTTACACATGTTAACCGACCATTATTTGAGAACTATTTTAACAGTTATGCTTAATCTACAGGTTTCCTCAAATTTCCAAATGTACATCAGATAACAAACCTAAATAAACCTAAAAATATGGTTTAAATTCTGGCTTACTATGTATGAATGAGAATCTAGAGTAACATAGTATTTTAAATGATTCCACAACTCTGAAATTGACATAATATATCTAATTACTTTATGCAACTGAAAACACAGCTTGAGTTCATAAATCTTATCATGTATTAATTAAATTTCTATGCAAACTCCCAACAAGTGGGGCAGTTCAAAATTTTTTTAAAAAAACCCTCCCCCAAATCCAAAACAATAATAAAATAAGGAAAAAAGAATAGCAAAAACAGGACACCTTCAATACCCAGAATGAGATTTCAATCATTTTTATCGAACAGTTCTTCAAGGCCCTCAAAACGTTTTACAAATTTGGGCCATATTTTATGCTATGTAAAACAACCATGTTACAACCATGATTTACAACTTAACTATATATAAACTCAGCGTGGCTGTTCAGTAAATCATGACTTAGTATATATGAACTCAGCCAAAGTCTGAGGTATGTAAATCCATTAATCCTCTTTGTGAAACTGCTTGCTCTGTTCCTGAAGGCTTCCTACTCAATCTACATTTTAAGACAAAGTATACAAAAGAAATGGATTTCCTAGTTGTTTCTCCAGTGTGAGGAAAGTCAGATCAGATACCAAGAATACAGAAGGGCAAATAAAGTTTATGCAGCCCTATACTTCTTACTAAGTGAAATCATTAGAGGATCCAATGCAAGACAGTTGTCTCCTTGTGTGAGCACTGCACAAATATGCTTTTTGCAACAGGTTTCAAATTACAGCAACAACTTGAGGCTAAAATATTAGGTGTTTTAATAGTAGGAATGCTTCTTGACAGCTGAGCCAATGCTTTGGGAATATGTATCATTACAAGCCCTCTATCCTACTTCCATCAAAGAAATTATCAGCAATTTTACAATATCTAGAAAATTAAATGGCTAAACTCATCAGAATATACTTCAGTAAGAGAAAGTATACTGTAGCAGAAAGTCTTTATTCATCATAAATATACGCTTGCAAGAACTGGTTAATGTCTTGCACCATAATCAAAACATTTTTTTTTTAAAAAACCTCCCTTTTTATAATCCTGTACTGGATAGAACTGAGCTTTTACTAGTTGGATGCCCTGCTGCCTATGTGGAGTTTGCATTGGATTTTTTTTTTTTTTTGCACTGTAGGAGAAAATCTGCTGCTGTGTATGATTGAATTCTCAACCTTCTGAATGGGAGGTGAGCATTTTCACCACTAAGCCACTATGCTGCTTTCAATCAAAACATGGTACATACTGAAAATATAAGACCTTGGAAGTTTATATGTTTTGTCCATGTATGGCCACATGTATTGTAGCATCTGAATGGAATCTTGTGGATTAAACAAGCTCCACGATATTCAACATTCTTCTCTAAATATAAATATCAAAGGAACTACCTCAAATATGGTCTCAGGTAAAGGAACACATATCTCAGAATAGAAGTGTAGGGCTGAAAGGGATGTTAAGAGGCCCTCTAGTCCAGCCCCCTCCTCCCACCGCAACCCAGACAAGAGTCCTTATATTATCCTGCACAAATGGCTGTCCAATCTTTTCTTGAAAATCTCTAGTGATGGAGCACCCACAACTCTGAAAGGGTTCCACTGATTAATTGCTGTCAGGAAATTTCTAACTTCTAGGTTGAATCTCTCTGATGAGCTTTCACGCATTGCTTCTTGTCTTGTCCTCAGATGCTATGGAAAATAAACGAGTGCCCTCTTCCCTGTGGCAGCTCTTCAAGTATTGAAAGACTGCTATCATGTCTCTCCTAAGCCTTCAATTAGGCTAAACACCCTTGTTCTTAGCATTTAGACTTTAGACCTCTTATCTTTGTTGATTTTCTCTGCACACTTTCAAGGGCCTCAGCACCCTTTTTGTATTGTGGTAATCAGAACTGGATGCAGTATCCCAACGGCCTCACTGGTGCAGTATGGAGTGGTATTATCACTTCCCATAATCTTGATGCTATCCCTCTGTTGATGCAGCCTGGAAGTGCACTGGCTTGTTTGACAGCTGCAGCAGTGATCCATCAAGACCCCTCTCAGTTTCTATTATTGAGCTAGGTATTTCCTATTCTATGCATTTGGTTTATCCTGCCTAAGGGCAGGAACTTACTTTTCTTGGCACATAATCCCATTCTCTCCCAGGAACATTTCCTACTGTAAAATGGAAAATTTGCATTTTTATCTAAAAATCTGCACTGCTTATTTTAAACATAACCAGTTCAAGTACAGTGACCTACCATTTTGGCCACATGATACTACCAAGATATGATATCACTATGCTTTCAATGCCAGGTACTTCCCCATGCCAGAATAATTTTCTTTGGAAGGAAAGCCTGAAATTTAGGGACAAACCAAATAAATGGTAAGCCAAGCAACATCAGGTTAGAGGGACTGTTGTCTCCATACTGCAGCTACGTACATTGCAGACTTTAAAGGAATCATCACAGTTGCCAGCTATAATTACTTCTTCCTAAGATAAGTCATATAAATGAATAGTCGGGAAATTACATACCCTGTCTCTATCAATGGCCTCCAAAAGAACTTTCCTGGCTTTTGGAAGATTCTTCTGAATTTTGAAAAGGTGTCGAGCAAGCTTTACAGCAAAGAATGAGGCTTCATAATTTGATTTGGCATTTTTCACAGCTTCTTGAAGCAGGTGTTCAGCTTCTTCCATGTTTCCATGTCTCCGTTCTAAACTAACTCTTCGTAAGCGAATCATGGCCAATCCTGAAACATTCTCTTCAAAGATCTTCAGAATTCTTCTGGCTTCATTGATATTCCCTAAAAGTGAGAGAGAGAGTATGTGAGAACTTGGAACTGCAAATTGACACGAGCTCATCAAATCTTTTAGAATATCTCTCCACCCTTCTTTTACTCTTGATGGAGTATATTATATAATGAATATTACTTGGATTTTCAGCAATCAAGAATCTCTGCTTCACAAAGCCACAGGGGGCGCAGAAAGAAGGTACACAGATAAAAGAAGCAATAAGTACTCCAATTTAGCATCAATACAGAACCTCACTTCATTTGTTAGTTTCAAAAATCTAATTGACAGAAATAGCCTTAACTGAAGCAGAATTTTAAGCAGCCAAGTACAGATGATCCACAGCTTATAACTATTCATTTAGTGATCGCTCAAAATTACAACAGTGCTGAAAAAGTGATTTGTGACTGCTTTTCACATGATGGTTGTGGCATCCCTGTGGCCACAAGATTGAAATTTAGACGCCTGGCAACTGGCATGTATTTATGATGGTAACAGTGTTTTGGGGTCATGTGATCACCTTTTCTGACCTTCTGACAAGCAAAGTCAATCCGGAAGCCAGATTCACTTAACAACCAGGTTACTAATTTGACAACTGCAGTGATTCACTTGACAACTCTGGCAAGAAAGGTCATAAAACGGAAGAGAGTTCACTTAACTGTGTTTCTTAGCAGTGGAAATTGTTAGTTTTCAGCCATTTGAGCTCAAATTGGGTTCAGTTATGGTTGTAAGCTGAAGATTACCTGTAATGAACTTTCTATGCAACTCTTTTTTCTACCCTGAAGGGTATATCTTTGTCTAGGTTGCTCTTCCCATTGGTTCCGGGAATAATTTTTTGTTGCACCATATGGTGACAATAAGAGAACAATTCGTAGCAAATTTAAAAAAAATATGTCTTCAAGCTAAGTTGATTTCTAATGAGTGTGTCTATGTATTTTTCTTGGCAATGATAACAAAAGTAGTTTGCTGCTACTGTAGCCTATATTGTCTTTATAACTTTATAACCTAACCTAGAGTCCTGAAATTTCCAGATTACTCTCCATCCAACCATACCGATCCTATTTAGTTTCTGAGATCAACCAAGTTTTGCTAGGACCTCCCACATCCTGAGCTTAAATACTGGCAAGCAATGGAATAGGAGATGCTTATGGGAAGGACAAAAGATATCAAACACAGAAAAGATGGTTTCTTTCAGTAAGTCCCGTGTTCCATTTCCCTACATTATCTGAAGAGCAGCCTTAAGTAGAACTTCCCAGACAACTCCCCAAAGTTGGGAACTACTTGTGGAGTAGAAATTGGAATGTGGTTCTGTTTCACATAGAATTTCAGTTTCATAGGAGGTTTCAGCTGAGTTCTATGAACTAAACTTGCAGGGCTTAGAAAGGAATTGATGGAGGACCATCTTGCCAATCTGTGCATGTTGTTCAGTGGCATCTTGATAAAAAAAAAACTTCATTTCTTGTGGAATCAGCTGTTACCTGTTGGGGCCACCTTTCATCAATAAGCTAATCAGGTACAGGTTCGCCTGGTACTCAGAGAAGGTACCTTAAAACCAAAGACAAGTGACTGGAATGAGGGTGCCAGTCCTTAGTTCTCTTGAAGCAGAGACTGACTGTTCTCCAGGTAAACAACCTGCAATACCGTTTCTGTGACAGCACGGAAGATTTAGAGGAAGCAGCTCTGCAGGATATACTATAACTTGGATGTGAATCTCTACGGAGGCCTATGGATTAGAGAGGTCTGTTTGAATTTATTGCCAAGAGGAAAGCCATTTTCCAATGAACACACTTACTAAGCAGAGGGGTTTGAAAGGCCAATACACTAGTTTTGTAGGGTTATGAACAGTTAAGTTAATCCTGAGAATCTGAAAGGATCAAAGCCAACCACTGAAATCTGTGCTGTAACATGCTAAATAATTAATACCCATTTTTTAAAAAGGCCAGTATTTCAAGAAATGATCTTTGTTCCACTTCCTTTTCTCTTTGGCAGAAAATGTGCCAGGTGTTTCATGCTTGAATATTGATGTTTCATGGGAGGCCAGAGTGGTCTGGATGGAGACTGAGTCACAATCTAGAGTCTAAAAGAACTGTTTATTTTCAGATGGGCAGTTATAACCAGCTCAAGTCTGAATGAACCTGGCTCCTTGGCTGAGATTTACTCTGAAAGGATGCAAGACTTTAATGACAATCAGTAGTTCTATGGAGTTGTATTTTAGAAAGTTTTTGGACAATGGAATTACTGTCAGGCAAAAGGTGGTAGCTGTTGCCTTGATTATTAAAGCACCAGTCCTTGTGAACATGGATCATTGTCACAATGTGTAGATGATCTCCATCTTTTGAGATCATAGTCTCTAAGATTAATGCTTACGCATCCACTAATGCCACCCTTAAGCCAGGTCTTTAGTGCTTTAGATTTAGGAATAAAGCCTGCCAAACTTCAGAGAGAAGGGGTGTCTTAGAGCAGGGGCTGGCACAGAAAAGACGTGCTTCCTAGCTCCCATCAGATGACAATATTTAAAGAAAGGGACTAGGAGTGTGCTCACTCCATTTAACCTGGTAGGATGGGTAGATGTCCTTAAGGAACTGCAGCCGCACAGATAACCTGGCATTGTGATTAATTTAATTGATGCAAATCAAAAACAATGTTCAGTGGGACACTGAGATATGTGAGACAAGATATTATGTAAACATATGCAAACCACTCTTATGCATTTAAAATTCCATGCACAGATCAATTCATGTCAGATACTGTGCCTGAACCAAAGTAGATTTGTGTTTGTCGAGCAATGGATCCAGAATATGTGCAGTACATGAAGTTATCTTTTGACGACAACTTTTTCCAAGTGCTGGTGGGAATTTCTTTTCTTTGGAAAAAAAGAATTGGGGGGGGGGGGGTTGCACTGTGCCTATGACACTGGAATGCTAATAGTCACTCAAAGTAATTCAGACAAGTGAGAAAAATCAAATTAAAATATTTCTAAGAGCTATTAATATGTGAAAGGGTATTTTATATGGGGGGGGGGGGTGATTGTTTATTTTTGTGCTTTCAAATGTGTTTTTTGACTCCTGGTGAAAGCCTGGATTAGCAGTATTTCTAACATCTGCCTTGTTAAATTTTGGGCAATAAGAAAGGGGAGATGTACGGTATGATCAGAGCATTGTGCAATTAGACCCTATATGCCCAATCTACTCCTCACCTTGCTGTTCTTCAAAAGCAGCCCAGAGCAAGTGCACCATTGGTTTCTTCGAGAGGTGTATCGTGCAGGCCCGGCTGTATACGTGCCTCACCCCTTCAATGCTGTGGTTCTCCATATACTTGGCATACTGCATTTGAAGACAGAGCAGAGACTGAATGATTCCCAGCTTACTCTGGGTTGCTAAATACTAGAGAGAACTGTAAAATTCTTGTGTTTTAAACCCATTCAGCACCTTTATTGAACCATTAGACTAGTTTCTGTAAGGAAGGACGAAGAGAGGCAACGAAGTTGGCATATGCAGCTGTCAAATCTGGTTGCAAGCAGACCATCTCCTAATGCAACAGATATAGTTATACATGAACAACATTCAAACAAGAGTACAGAAGGTTAGTCACTGATCATCAATGTTTGCAAAGAGCAGAACTGGCATAGGAGAAACGCCCCTTACCTTGATCCAGAATTCTTCATAGAGAGCACAGGAGATCACGCAACGCTCAAAAAGAACCACTACTCGTTCATGAGTTCCATTCTCAATCTCAAAGTCCAAATACTCCTTCCAGTTCTTCAGCTGGGTTTTCTCCAAAGGTTTAACATGAAAATAAGGTCGTTTTATCTGAAAACGAACATGACATGGGAAGTCATGAAAACATGCTTCATTTTACATAGTGCTCCTTAGTTATTAAGAAGCTGAATCATCTCAGCAAACCATATTTATTTTGATCCCAACTACAGTAGTTTTTGTCATTCTTGAGATCTTTATTCTTCGTCCCTTATTCCTTTAAACTACCCAGTCTCTGGAGTCAGGGAAGCACATACATTTAATATTTTTTAAAAATTATTACTTTCATAACCTTATATATTATCCTCAAATAAAATCAGTTTCTTTTTTGAATATATAATATCCAAATATATCCAATTTGGATATAGCTTTCTAAAAATAAAGGAAAAACAAGAACTGAAACAAAATATTGTGTAAAGCGACATGTGTGGCTCCTGGACATGTGTGGTGTTGTTTTTCTTTCACAAGATTGTAAGCATTTGCAAGGTGGTCAGTTGTAAGAATTAGCTAAGCAATATAAACAACTTGTAGACAAGCAAGGAAGTCACTCAGAAATAAAAAGGTCTGTGTAGATACAACAAAATCATTTCATCTAAAGAAGCACTAAACTTTCAGAAGATTGTGTATGATGGCAAGAATAAAAACTCCAACCTTACAGAAAAAGAGGCAATGTATGCACAAATTTCTACACACAGCACACACAGTTGTGAGAAGAACAGAAAAAATGCTGGATAATTAAGATTTTTTTTAAAAAATGAAATATGCAAGTAAAGTATAATGATTCAAGAACCCAAACTTGTCTTTACTGTAAAGCCATTAATTAATATGTGCTGACTGCAAGAAGGTAAAGGGAATACAAAAGGATTTGGAACCACACCTAGATCACTGAAAATTATTTGTAGTATATATTTGTTCTGACTTGCCCATTTTGAAGGATCAGGCAGACTGTAATGAATCCCATTCAACTGATACTTTGAATCCGCAAGCATGTCTTCAAGCAACACTTATGCAACAAGCTACAGACATAATGCCTTTTGAAAAAAGCATACTACTAAGACTAGAGATGCCAGGGATAGAATAAGAGTTGGACGGGATCTTGGAAGTCTTCTAATATAATAACCCTTTGTGTAGGCATGATCTTATTCCTATCTGAAATACGTCCTATAAGGTAGACAGCATTTTAAGGGAGAAAAATCACATTGCGGCCTTTGTGGTTATATGGAGTCACATCTGATAAATTGCAAACAGTAGAAAATGAGCAAAGATGTATGCTCTTCCAACAAAATCCCATATTTAATTAAATTCTTGAAGTGACCCTAAAATTATAGCATTTTAGACTTCTCTAGCACTGGAAAACAGATAAGCAGCGTGTGTTGAACTTTAAAAATGTTCAAATAGACTGACAGGTGTGTAATGGATCCCATATATGGGAAACAGATTTCTAACTTCTCTCTCACTATAGTTCTTATCAGCAGAACAGCTGTCCCTGTCTGATTACTCTACCTCCATATATTTTAGGTCTAACTCAATACTGTACTATAGGACATTTTGCTGGGAACTGTAGTACTTCTAGCACAAATACATTTCTATGGTATAAAGACTGAAGAATTGGCCTAAAGATACATATGAAAACTTGGCAAAGTCTTGTATTTTCTTAAAATACTTAGAAAGAAGTGTGAATGATGAGACAGTAATTATTAACTATCTAGCTGCAACCTCTAATTTTGCAAAATGAGAACAGATTATTTTTCCTCCGTCCCCCGTTTCAAATGCAGTTTAATGTACAAAATGAAATACCTACGTACATTGAACTTTGGCATCCAAAAATATATTCAATGTTTTCACTAAAGTTGGCACATTTGTTAATTAGCAATGACCAGATATTGTTTTGTGAAGCCACAAACATACAGCTAGCAGCTTCCTTTATAACAAATGCCAATGTGTTACTATGTACCAAGCAAATGGAAGAGCCAAGGCAATGTCCCATCAACTAAATATCATGACAACATTGTTTTCACTGATGTGTAGAAAACAGAAATAGAAAAACCTAAAACTTTCTAAAACTTCTGCAAAGCCACTAACAAGGGGGCAGCCTAATTCCTAGAGGAATTTTTTTTTTAAATGCAGTGCCATGACAGAAATTGTATGAACCTCCAAATTTGACAAGATTATTCAAATGAACTTACCCCTTCTTCAAAAGTCCACCGCTTGCTAACTTCATGCTCATTGTGATTGAATATTTCTTGATGAATTTCAATGATTCTGTGACGCATGTTTTCTATTTCAGTGATAAGCTAAACCAGACATTGGAAAAGTATTAATACAATTCAGGCAAGGAGGTATTTTTAGACATTTCTGAAACAAGTACCTACTCTGGATGGGAATAATAATAATAAAATTCTAGTGGGACTGTGAAGTATGATGTATTCCAATAGAACTGCTGGCATATATTATAGTTTAATATGAATAAAAACCCTAAAACTAACAATCTAGTCCCACAGCCTTTTATCAAAATCCCCAATCACATATAGAATGGAAACACCTATAACGCACTTTAAGAATCCTAAAGAATGATTCACTTTATAGTATTGTGCTGGACCATTTGTCTGTGGCGAAAGTATACCAATAGCGAAACAAAATGTAGTTTTTCTTTGAGTCTTAGTGTGCTTCATGGTTTATGGCTTTATGTGTTTTGGAAACCCAGCGACATATAGCTTATTCAATATACCATGTTAATATCCTACTGCAATATCTAAAACGGGTGTACAAAAATATAGGAAGATGTTTTGAACTTGGAACAAACCATCAGGTTCCAAATGTTTTGCTGATCAAAAATTATCCTGTAGTTTTATCATAATTAATCCAATAGGAAAAAAGAAAATGGTACAGTAAAATCAGTACAACCTACCACCCAGAATGGGACAAATTGTCATAGCCAACTTGCCACAGCCAATTCAACAAATAAATTTAATTATTCAAAATAAATTAAAAATGATTTTATTTTTTGTCATTCACATTCCACTTTGTCTCTCCTTTTGCATCCTTTCCATTCTATTCCACATTTTCTGATATTAAGTGTTGGCTGTGGCAAATTGTCAGACCCCTTCCATTTCATATTCAATATTCCACATTTCCTATTCAATGGGACGTAAGTGACATGTAAGCATAGGGAAATGAAACTGCATATCTCCACCTAAAGGTACTTTCAAATAAAGTACCAAACTAGACAGAATTATTAGCTTTACCTCACAAAGTTCTGGTTGTGTGTATGAGTGTGTTAAATACAGCTACCTGAACTAATTTACCAGAACAAAACAAGTGTTTAAAAATATTTCCCTGAACTATATCTACAGTAGTGTTTGTAATTGGTAAGTTTTTACAAAAATATGTGGGAAAATGACAAGCTGCTTAAAAGATTGTGCACTGAAGCAGGACACTAAAATCATTACATGACATTTCAGAAACATCCAGTGAAAATAATGGAAAACCAAAAGCACCAACCGATTTTAAAGGCAGAAAGACAAAGAAAAA